AGTTACAAATTTTACATGAAATATTATTCAAAAGCTTATTGCAAAATTAATTCAATTATGAATGAAGTTAGATAGATTGAGATTGTGAGACAGACAGACAGAGAGGTAGATAGATTAGGTAGACAGATAAGAGCAATTCCCTAAAAATTAAAGTGGGTTATGAGTTATTAATCTCAACTTTCATTGTATTTAGACATGTTAATTAGGTGATTTTGGTCTGTCACATTGGATTTGGGTGGTGAATTTAAATTTTTAGATGTAAGATTAATTTTTTTTTTTTTTTTTTTTGAAACAATTTTTAGATTTAAGAAAGATTTCCTTCCACTTTTAGAAACTTTTTTTTTAGATTTTGGATCTGGTTAAGTCATTTTTTTTTCCCTTATATTCGTTGTGGAACTTTAAGTAAATTTTGTCAAGTTTGATTAACTAAGTTTGTATGTCTCAAATTCCGAAGAAAAAGTACATTTTTTTCAAAACTTTTGATATTTAAAGATAATTTTAATTTAATCGACTTTTTCGATAACATGATTGGTTGGGCCGAATTTTTGGATTGGGTTACTTTTTTTTTTTTTTTTTTTTTTTTTTTTTTTTTTTTTAAGAAGATTGGGTTACTTTTATAACTCGTATAATGACATAATTTTACGTTTTACTTTTTTTTTTATGTTTCTTTTTTTTAAAAAAAAATTATTTATTTTTTAATATTTTTTTTGACGAGATTTATTTTTTTAATATCAATGGCTTGGCACTTTATGAACTTTTGGATACCTGGAATATAACTTTTTCCCAGCACTTTGTATTTTAGTTGACGTGGATAATTATTTACAAAAGACTGCACATCAGCATGAAAGATAAGAACTTCAGCCACTGAAAGTTGCATTTTTAATTATTCAAATATAATATGCATCTATGTCATACAGGCGCGCACAAAAAAAAAATTAATAAGCATGTATTGATTTTTTTGGTGTTTATTAAAGAGGCACACAAACGTACGAGAATCGATTCTACGATACCCTAGCATCAAGGTAAAACTCTAATTTTTTGAATTGTTCCTCACTTTCATATGTATGTATTGATTGATGCAACCTAAAAAGGGGCTTGTAACAATATGTCAATAACAATGGCAATTATACCTATCAAAAAATCCATTACAAATACAACACCTCATGAGCAAAAGGATATAGCTCTGTGGTTAACATATACTTATACAACCGCACAATCTTTTCCGAGGTTTCGGGTTTGAAGCTCATGGGTAGCTAGGCGAGGGAAATAGATTTGGAGGACTCTCAATTAAGCCGAGTTTTAAATCTTAAATAGGTGGTTCAATCTAAAGACACATCCTCATATATGTACCTAATACAACTATATATACGAGTAATAAATAAAAAGTTCATGTACTCCGGATATGGTTGCACTTGGCTTTATGCATTAGTATAACTTTCTAAGCGATGCATTTAGGAGCACTCATTTAGAAGCTTGATTCTTGTATTCTATTTTCTAATTGAAAAAGACATAAGCATAAAAGAATTACTCCATAAAATGAAGTAAGGGTTTCATTGTTTTGTTTACTATATAAAATTAGGTAAAAGTTCTTTTGTTTTGATTTGGTTAGTTGAGTATGGAAGGACATGATCACATGAAGGGAGCTTATATTGTAAGTTCTCTTGTCATCTGTATTCTTCCATTTTCGGAACTATGAAAGGTGAAAGTTTAATAAAAATGTCTCTACCTTTCTTTGTCAATATGTTAAATTCTGATCTTATGTGAGGTGAAACATACAAACACCTATGTTAGGCACAAAAATATTATGGAGTAATCACTAAAAATCATCTGCAAAATAGCAAAAAATATGAAAATATCATAATATGATACTATGTATTATAAGTCTGTCTAACTGTCTTATATACGAAATTATCACTAAATAACAAATTTAAGATTAAATTATCTTAACTTTCGAGATTTTTTTTTAGAAACAGTATAATATAGTTGACATAAAAAAAAAGAATTAACAAAAGAATTTCTATCAACCAAAAAAATCAACACATGCACACAACTAAGAAACTTATTGAAAGCCAATTTGCAAAACAAAGAGAGCTAAGTCAAAGGTAGGCTTAAATATAACCGACTTAAACACTAAAAACCCATCAAAATGATGCCGATTGAAAAGATAGCACCCCCACCACTATCACCACCGATTTATTTTAAAAAAAAAAAAAAATATATACCAAAAGTATATGAAAAAGCTACTTGAAATTGCCAAATTATCTTTTCAAATTAAAAGCTAAAAAGCTAAATGTTATGTCTAGCTAACACCAATCTATGATTTCTATTATTTTATAACCACACATTGAAGATAAACCTTCAATTTTTTTTCTACATTTTTTTTTTTTTTGGTCTTAGAAGTTAATAGCAAAATAAAAGGATGAAAGTATAAACAAAATTACGAGTAGTTATTAAATGGTCATTTTCTTTGAAATTAATTCCTTTAAACAAATCAAATGCTTTAAATTTATTAAAAATGGCCCCCTACTATGATAAGCATAGATGGGCCTTGGTTGGATACTATAGAAATTTCCCGGTTGTCTACAAAAACCAATCGGCCCACACGAAAGCATAGTATAAGTATACGCGTAAATCTTGGGCTTTTCTATTTATCGTTAAAAATAAGAGGAAAATAATACTTGTACATAATTCTTACGTAGTTACGTCCTATAATGTCTTCTTGTATAATATCGTGAATGTTTCTATTTTGAGTACTTTCACAGTCTTATTATAGTTACTCTGTCCGTGATATATTGTTCGATTCATCCTAATGTGAAATTTTATAGTGAACGTCATTAAAGATATCCATAGTTAAAGGATAATCTTAAATATCAGATAAAGTAAAAACTTTAAATTATAAAATCAGTACTTTAAGAAATAATAAAAGCTTTTATAAACACCCATGTATAAGGTGCATCTAAGAATATTCTCTCCTCATTCAATTTATCTTTTCTTATTTTAAAATCTAAAAATGAACAAAAAGAAAAATAATCAAATAAGCAAATATACATCCTGGTATATCCGAGTGTATATAACGAATTTTGAATAAATGATAATTTTATCGGGAATAAATGATAAATGATAAGCAGTCAATATAAAACAATAATACCACCCTTAACTTGTCTTTCAAAAACAATTCCATCTTCAATTAATCCAGAAATAATCTCATATGTTACCCTCATCTTTTTTTAACGATCCTTTTAACTTATAACCTGTTTTACAGGTAGATAATTTTATTTATTTATTTATTTTCTTTTTTTTCTTGAATTTCTCTCCTCTCCATAACCACCAACACTGCCCTCACCTGCTCACCATCGCCACCGTAGGAGACCCACTCGAAATTATGAAAACCTCCTCACCTCGTTCTTCCGACCAGTCTACCAATGCCCACCACGGCACCACCCTCCTCCAAACCCACACATAATCCCAGCCACAAAGACCCACGTCCAGCCAACCACAACTTCACCCACCCAACCCGTACATCAACTCTCCCTCGTTGCTAATCGCACCCACCACCTACAACAATGCCCCCTTGCCCAACCCACTACTCCCTCCTAAACACATAAACACCAAGAAGCCGCATTAAGTAAGCTGCTGCTGCAACTCTAATCAATCAGATCATCATTCTATCAAATCACACTAAATCATTTTAATCATACAATTCATCTAATTAGTTTAAAATTTTAGTTGTTGAGGAGATAATTCGTAACAATTGAAGGCAAAAGCTCCAAAATTAATAAGTCTTTCTTTTGCATTTTTTTTCCCCATAATTGGGCTTGATTGCTCGTGTTTTGGGAGGGATTTTGGGGCTATTGTTGCTGTTGGTTTGTTGTTGGCGGTGAGACGAGGTGGTTTGGTGCGTAGTGGTTGTCAATTATTATGTTGGCTGCGTTGGTGTTTCTATGGAGGATGAAGGGAAAGGTGGCTTACAGCCAAGGGAGGACTGAGGAGGTGGGGCAAGGGAAGAGGGAAAGAGTTTTTTTTTTTTTTTTTTTTTAAGAATTTGCCCAATAGAAACTCAACACGTGGCAACTTACCTTTTCTAGCAGGTTATTAACTTATCAAAACCGGTCATGGCTTATTAAAAGAAGATTGATGTTAAAGGTGGGATTATTTTGAGAATATTCAAATGAAGGATTGTTTTGGGAAAATCGAGCAAAAATGGGATTATTAATTTCAATTTTTCCATTTTATCATGTATTCTTCAACTAATGATATACGATTAATAATCTTGTGTATTAAATTGCTTATTACTCCCTCCGTTCCGATTTTTGCCCCATTTGATTTTTTACGGTTTCTAAGACACATATTAAAACACACATATTTTTATTTCCATGCACGTAAAATTTATAAAAACTGGATATTAATAAACTAAATAATGAGTCAAATCTAACAAGATTACTCATTACTATATTATCACTTACAGATTAACGATAATTTACAGTTAAAGTTTATAAAATTTAACTCAAAAAATAACAATGGAGCAAAAATGGGATAAAGAGACTAATAGAGTACTATTATGGCATTTAAATTCAGTTAATAATAACACTTTTCACTTAAATCAAGAAAGTTCTTTCACTCTCTCTTAGTTGTGACAAAAGTGGGTCCCACTTCCATCTACCTTGCCACATTCCAATCTCCTATTGGTTGTTGAAGAACAATAGGACACGTGGCTAAGTGAAACTTTCCCTTTATATTTGCGAACCGCTAAAACTAAAATTCCAAACACGCCCTTAATTTTTACTCAATTTGATTTTATTTCATTTTTAATTTTTAATTTTAATCACAACTTTCATCTTATAAACACCTTACACGTATCCCCACGTGTCCACAATCCCGCCCACCTCTACCCCTCTTTTTTTTTATATATTTTTTTTTAAAAAAACCTTAACCATGGTTAAGTTAACTAACATATCTAGTTAAGTTAATTAATCAAACCAACAAAAACCCCCCTTATATTTATTAATTGACCCCCTCTTGCTGTCTACTCTTAGCCCCTCCAAAAGCTCCAAAATTTTCTCTCTCTAAAAAAACCCTTATTTTCTCTCTCTAAAATCTATTGAATTGAAAAAAAAATTGAAAATTAGTTGAAAAAAAAAAAAGAAACAAAAAAAATGGGATTGTCGAATTTCCCAAGTCCAGCAGAAGGGGTTTTACCCGTGTTAGTAATGAACACAGTAATGTCAGTAGCAATCCTGAAGAATTTACTGCGGTCATTTCTTCAATTAGTAGGGGCAGTAAATTGGGTTACGAGTAATTTCGAGACGAATCCAACGACATCAACGGTATCAGCATCGACCGCGACAATAACAACAACAACAACTAGTATAAATAGTACGAGGCGATTAAGGGGTATTTCAATTACCCAGTTCAAGTATTTGTGTGCTACCAACAACAATAGTTACTGCGATAAAAATAAAAATATTCCAGACGAAGATATGAAAAATGGGATTGAAGGAGAGTGCTGTGTTTGTTTGTGTAAATTTGAAGATGAAGAAGAGGTGAGTGAATTATCTTGCAAGCATTTCTTTCATAGAAATTGCTTGGAAAAGTGGTTTGATAATCATCATACTACTTGTCCACTTTGCAGATCCATCCACTAAATTAAACAAACCTTTAATTTTAATTTTTTTAATTTGGGGGATAATTTAGGTGGGTGGTTGAGGATGAGGATGACCACACCTTTTTTTTTTTTTTGGGAGACTTTTTGAGGAGCCTTTTTCTTTGATTTAATTCTCTTTTTTTTTTTTTTTTTTTTTTTTTTTTTTTTTTTTTTGGGAAGAGGGTTCCTTTTGTTAATTTGGAACCCTTCATTTTTATTTTCCTATGTTTTCCAGCAAAGTAGAGGAAAGAAAAAGATGAAACTTTGCTGTTGTAGATTTGTAGTGTGTTGTTGTGTGTTTGTTTAAAGCACCAATAATATCAAAAAAAAAAAAAAATGAAGGGTTCAAGAATTTTTGCTGTAAATTTATTGTCTTATATTTTCAATTTGTCAAATTTACTACTTGGTACAATTCGATATTAAGTGTTAATTTTGCAGCTACCAATCTACCATGTCGACGATAACAAATCAATTAAGCTAGTTCGCATCCGAACAAAATTGGTAGTACTCCTTATTGTTGTTTCAACATGCAAAAGGCCAGGTTGTTGTAGTTGTTGCTTGGTTTTTAGGTCTGCAACAAATGATATTAGAAGTAGCAAGAAAATCTTTATATTTTTATAACAATATTTATACATGTATGTATAAAAAAAAAAAAAAAAAAAGTTGTATTTATCTGAATAAAAAAAGTTTTTGTCTGAATCTACAACATGCTGTGGAGGGCAGTATGATGTTACTAGAAATGGTCCATCACAAAATTTATGCAGTTTTGGTTTTTGGTAAAATTTACAAACTTTAATTTTTCTTTCTTCTTCTACTCTTATCATGTGACAGTTATTATTGGCTTAACACATGTGAAGGCTTCCTATTCTTGGCAACATCAATCATTGGTGCCATCTCTATTTAGTGGACCTATTTTCAATTTCTATCTTATTTTATTTTATAATACTGACCCCTTAAATAAAATAGTACTGTAGTAATATAAAAACTATAGGTTAAAATGTTTTACTTACTAATTTATTACTTTTATGTTGTGGTCCACTGGTCCTGCCTTTCTTCTATGAATGTGTAATGTGTATCCAGAAGATATAATTTCCTGGGTCTTATAAAGTGTGCTAAAATGACATTTTTGTTGTGTTACATATTACATATTGTAATGTATTTTGTTATTGTTATTATAAAGTAGCTAGCAGAGCACTGCCCTTGTGGCACCACCTAAGTGACCTCATAAGTAATTATGGTGTTTGTGCTGTGATTTTCACACTATATCAGTTGATATCCTTTTTATCCTAGTACAGAGATATAATCTGTACAATGGAAAACCCGATATGTATAAATCAATTTTTGGAATGCGAAAATTAGACGTACACATGCATGGACTTCGGAGTCATGAATCCATGCATGTAAAGTGTTTTATTATGTGGTTCATGAGATTTTAAGCTAAACTTACACACTCTGCTCATAAGCTAATGTAATTATTAGTGAAAAATGTTGGAAGGGTTCTTCACCCTTTTCCATGCCCTGAATAAAGCAATGATATGTACGTGACTGAGCATGGAAAGGGGTAGATGAAATGTATGGAGTAATTCTTTCCATGTGCTAATATTTTGTCTACATTATAGGAAAATGCTTCCTTTGCAAGCTTTTTTAGCAAAATAATCATGAAACTGATTAATGACATTTATGATAAAAATGCAATCACAAGATCATATTTATGCCATAGAAGCCAAAGTATCTTAAAACAAGTCAAAAATGATGTACTATTTTTTAAAACAGATACAAGATTTTGTTCTTCCTTTTTGGATGGTACTCCGTAATGTATAGAACTATCTCATTTCCGAGATCCTGAAAAGATAAACCCTCTTCCAAGGCCAAGGAAAGATTCAAATTGGTGACCTCAAATTACAATAGGCAAATTATTAGCGAAATATTTATGCATATACTTCGTATATTAATAGTACTAAGATTTTTTTTTTCTCCTATTAACTATGTTCGAAGGAGGAACGCACAACAACATGGAAATCATATATTCATATATGCTCAACCAGGCACACAAGAATGAAAAAATAAAACAGATGAAAGCTTAAATATGTGCAGTTACCCTGCATTCATGAAGACCTTCCTGAGTTCTGATTTCTTTTTCTTGATAAATTCCTCTGCTTTGACATCTACGTAGACTTCATCTTCTCCCTTGTTAGCAACTTCCTTTTGGTCAGTCAATCCTTTGGTTTTAACATCATTTTCGCTGTCGATCATAAGCTGCTTCAGCTTCTGTTTGATGAATTCCTCTGCTTCGACATCGATATCTGACATATCTCCCTCATATTTCACAGGACAAGTAAAACTCTTTACAAACTTGCTGCCTTTGTTATTGTTGAATGCAGATTTCGCACCATTAAGATTCCTGGGAGGAGACAACAAGTGAGAGAAGTATATGTCATACTCATTTAATATAGTCATATTTCACAAATATACTTCCATAGACAAACATTCACACATAACATATAATCATTTATGTTAATATGTATTTATACATTGGTTTATAATTTTGCAGTTCAATTCACAATATTCTGTTCAACATTATTAGGCAGAACTTTAGAAACTTCAGGTACATTAATATTATAGGTTATGTTATGAAACCTAAATTATGCTTCCTTATGCAGAAAAGGCAAAGAATAAAGCTTTCTTTGCCTATATGATTCTCCAAAGAATAACAGGAAGTGTAAGAGTTTTAACTCGAGCTGTCACAACACGATAAGTCGATAACTCTTTGCATTGCGTACACAAGAATGTTCATAGGAAAGGTTTCCTGCAGGGTAAATCACTAATCACTATTGGGTTATCATTATTGAGTTGAATTATTACCAATAAATCTCACTTTGTTGGTTAACTTCATCCAATACGAAAGTGTTTAAAGATCTTACTAGAAGTTGAGCTGCACACAACTTATGTTAATGACTTCTAATTAATAACCATTTTTGGTCACTTTCATTACCTACAAAAGTAAATTTGCATAACAAAGTGAAGTTTAGATGTATGGGTCAACAAGCATGCATAATAAAAATTGAAGAAAAAAGTGGGTTTACATTTGTAGGTATGAAAGGACTTTTAGGTATTGAATTTTGTAGCAAAAACAAGGAGATTAAGAAATCTAAGTAACGTTTTTTTTTCCAAAATCAAATTAATAGGGGGCCCATCCTTTATTTAAGGGAGAAAATTTATACACTTTTACAATATTCATTTTCCATAAGTAACAAGGGGATCCCCCAGTAATCTGTACCTAAATGGTACAGATCTAGCCTCCAAGAAACATTATCCCGAGGAAGATTGTTACATATTCTAGGTTTAAGTCAACCACACATGCCGACATGCACATCATTAACATGCGCGAGTGTGCACAAACAAGAACAGTAACAATCTAAGGCTTAATCATAAGATAGAGTCGGCTATATGAAACAAGATTTTATCTATGCGTGTGCAAAAAAAAAAAAAAAAAAAAAAAAATTCTTAGTGCCTAATATCTTTTCTTGATTAATTAGATGGAAGCTAAGCAAAAGGGAAGCTAAGACATAGAAAATAATAGCAGTGCTCTCAAGGAAACAATAACTGGACTATATTAGTCCAATTTTGGGGGCGATTTGGTCATTTAAGGGGTACTTTTTAGGACGTGTTGAGTCCGTACTCCAAATTAAGAGTGACATTTTAAAAATATTGGATTGAAGTATCCAATGAATGTTATGCACTTATAGTTTCTCGTACATTCGTTAATGATTTGTGATGACCAAAGAATCATGACTAGTTCCATTATTGAAATGAGATGTTAACATACTCAAATTGATTGAAGTATTAAATCACAAGTGGCTAATCAAAAATATAAAAAATAAAGACCTGATGAAAGATATACTAGTAGTTCTTTGTAAGTTATTCTGAAGTTGGTCTAATCTTCTATCTTTACGACTGATGTCAGATACTATGCATGAACCAAACATACATTATAGGAGTTTGATCAATCTTGCTAATGTAAGACCAATAATTATAAACATTAATTAATAACTGGAATAATAATGGCGAAGCACGGAACAGTCCAGCAATCATGCAGTGATGGTGCAATAGTTCAGACGCTTCAAGTTATGAGGTTGAGTTTGCAATAGACCTGTCTGCTGATCTGCAGCACGGTGAGAGATCTGATGATATCGGCACATCAAAATCAGTGTATACTCTTATAGAACATCATCTACTGCCAATCTGTGTGTGTTCACTAGTGACTTGTGAGACTTGCCTCCCAGAACCTCATAGGAACCACAATTGATTTTAGTACATTACCAAATCCTGATTTACTCTAAAACATACGCGATGAGAGAAAATGGTTCAAGGCCTTGCTTCATTTCAAAAATAGCTTAACTGCAGACACTTTAGAACATTAGTCTGGTAGTAATAATTTGCAAGGAGTTAAGGAGCATGTCAAAGCTTCACTTTCTTTAGTTGAGCAAGGCCATTCCAACAAGAGGCAACCCTGTCTCTCATGGATATCTGTCCATCTACTTCTAGCATATTTATCCGCCAAGGCAAATAGTTTGGTGGTTGCCTAGTAGCCAACTGATTAATCTTGTTCTTTTGATATATATGCGTGAACCAATAACAGTCTTGATCTTCATACTCACCTATACGAAACTTCAGCATATTAGAGATGGCCAACTCCAGGAATATCTTCAATGTATCCTTTAGTGTGATGAACTCCAACAAGAAGGTAATATTTACAAAAGACAACGGGTTTTGTGCCTGTAAAACCTGAAGATTGTAAGTGTGCAACAATAAAGGTAAATATCTATAAGTGCTTGCCACATTAAGAATGTTCAACTAGCTTTTCTTAAGAATGTTTAGGTTATCAAAAATATGGCTACGTACCTACGGTACTATGATGCTTTCATGCCAATGGCCCAAAAATGTCACTATTATATAGAAAGGTTATTTTCTCCGCATGTAACCCTGCCAAAGGCATAACAGTGATCTCATCTTGTAAATGAAATGCAACACATCACATCACGTGCCTTCACGTATAAGTTCAGAAAGAAAATCAGAGTGCCCGTAAAACGTTGGACTTTTAAGTCAAAGGCCATTCGTAGACCTTGAAATATGTGTAAGAGATTTAGCCAGACAATTAATCAACCAAATAATAATGGAAAAACTTGTGCAGACCAGACCTGGAGAATTTAACAAACAGTGTTATCCAAAGTTTGAAACTACTACTAATACCCGGTTTACCCATTTGACACTCCCAACTTCCGAGTTACAAACTTTTCCACGATACGTCTCAGCAACGCCACATAAGAAGACACATGGAACCATGGTTAACAACAGGGAAAAAGTTTCTTGGCTTTCAAAACTGAACGTCTTGCTTCTTGTAATAATGTAATGCATCACAAGCCATCCAATCGGCAAACCTATGCAAGAAGTCCAAAAGAGAATTGAAGGTGACATCACCAAGAGTTTGTTAGAAGGTTTGACAGTCTGTGCCTTTAAGAAGATTGAGGGCACATCAGTGAATTGTGAGGGTTTAACAGATACGTGAATCATGTCAAGGGTACAGTAGTATAAATAAGGGGATGTGGGAAAGAGCAAGTAATCATGATATTGTGTGTGTCTCTATCTTCTTTTGGCCTTGATTTGCATTCTCTTAGTGATGAATTGATAGCATTGTTAATACAACTCTATTTAGCTTCTTCTTTTTCTAAATCTCACTCTACTTCCTTTATTCTCTATTTTTCCCTATATCAGTCTACTCCGTTTCCTATTTTAAAAAAAAAATAATAAGATAAAGGGTATTTCCTCCTCCATTGTCTCCCTATTCCAGGAACCCAGACAGCCAAGAACAGTATAAGCCTCCTAATTACATTAGTACCTAGGTTGCATGCAATATCCTATAACTTTAGGTATGGTGCTCCATACCTGTGGACATCCTTCCTTGTATATTATACACCTACACATCCCTTGTCTCATTAAAATCATGTCGAATAAGCAGAAATGAGATCGATCAGCTGGCTTTGCTTGATTTCAAGAAAAAGATAACAGCTGACCCATCACAAATTATGAGCTCTTGGACTAATACTGTCAATTTCTGCAAGTGGCACGGTGTTACTTGTAGCCAATGCCGTCAAAGAGTCACTGAATTGAAACACAATTCCTTGCAATTAGCAGGCTCCATATCACCACACATTAGAAATTTAAGCTATTTGAAGATACTAGACCTGAAAAACAATAGCTTCAGGCATCAAATCCCTTCGGAAATCAGCTATTTGTGAAGAATGCAAATTGTTAGGTGTAAGTGTGAATAGAGTTTGTCCCACATTGAAAAAGAAAGCAAAGGGCTTTCAGTTTATAACCCAAGCGGGTTACTCCTCCTATTGCCAATTGGTTTTAGGATGGAACCTTGTTGTGGGCTCTAGTTTGTGGGTTTGTGGGTTTGTGGGCTTCTGGGTTTCTCTCCCTTGTGTTCTCCCCTAACTGTTAAAACAAACTGGCATCAGAGCTAGGTTTGATCTGGTCACACCATCTGATAGGGGCACCGTCTGCATTAGGTCTTATGGCGTTAAGGACCGTCTGTGAGTGTCGCCTTGCCTTAGAGCTGGGTTCTGGGTGTATTTCTGTTCAAGGGGGAGTGTATAGGCTCACACTTGAGGGGGAGATTGTTAGGTGTAAGTGTGACTAGAGTTTGTCACACATTGAAAAAGAAAGCAAAGGGTTTTCAGTTTATAACCCAAGCGGGCTACTCCTCTTATTGTCAATTGGTTTTAGGATGGAACCTCGTTGTGGGCTATGGTTTGTGGGCTTCTGGGTTTCTCTCCATTGTGTTCTCCCCCATCTATTATAACACATCTATTATACCTATACAATATTTCTTTAAGTGATGAAATTCAATTTAATATATCCAGATGCTCTAAGCTTATAGCATTAAGTTTAACCAATACTAACCTGGAAGCTGAGCTACCAAAGGAGCTAGGAATTTAGGATCCCTATCGATTCTTAAGTTTTTATCACTGAGCATCAACAATCTAATCGGAAAGCACATAAAATACAAAATAAGGAATTCACCTCGTTATTATTAATTTAATTTTTGAATCCCAGTCTCTTGGAAATTTGTCTTCGCTAAGCACTCTCCCAGTAGAAGAAACCAATTTAGTAGGTAATATCCTTGATTCTCTCGGCCAACTTAAACAACTTACTTTTTTGGGACTTGGTGTTAACCACTTGTCTGGAACTGTCCCTCCCTCAATTTTCAATATCTCCTCCATTACACTAATGGATTTAGGGGTAATCAACTCCAGGGGCATCTTCCTTCAGACCTTTACACCACTCTTCCAAACCTAAATGACCTTACTGCAGCCCTTAACCAATTTTCAGGTCCCATTCCTACTTCTCTATCCAATGCTACAAATCTGCAGTTTCTCCAACTGCAGATGAACAATTTGGTTGGGCAAGTACCCCTTCTCTAGAAGCTTAATGAGCTTCAGGTGTTCCTTATAAGTGGAAACTTTCTGGGTCAACAGGAACTGATGATTTAAACTTTCTTTGTTCATTGAACAATCCCACCAATTTGCAAATCCTGAACATGAGCAGCAATTATCATATCATGGATTCCTTGGGAGAGATGTTCAGAGTTGGACTCACTTGTTCTGCTGAGTCATTTGGAGAAAGGATGGACATCAGTGATGTCATCAAAAAGTTGTGTTAGATCAAGGAGAAGCTTCTTCGAGGTCGAGATGCAACAAGGAGGAAAAGCGCTGTTGAATTGAAAAGCAATAACATATGAAGTTTTTTCTCTTCAAACTTCATTGGAATATGGAATGTATCTAACTTTTACTTTTCTTTTCATTTTGAACAACAGGATGACTTAAGAGATGAAATATAGAAATCCTAATGCAAACAGCCCTCATTACCGAATTCCTTCCTATCCAGACTAGCTGGTGATTTACCCAACCAAAAACACATGATACGAACTCGCCTATATGATGTACTTGTATTTCACTTCAAATAATAATGACAATGTAATCGCTTCTTACTTCTTATATCAAGATCACAAAAGGCAGTAGTACTCTTCTAGTGATAGATAAAACCAGTACTCTATGGTTTGCACTTAGTAGCGACACACATTCTTAACTCAAACTGGGGCAAGAAACTCGAAAGATGAATTTTAAATGACACATATTCTCATTCAAAAAAAAAAAATGATCACATACACTAGTGGCCAATACTATGTTAGGACGTCCGGAAAAGACATCACAATATTAACATTGTTAAAGAGCCTTTTACTGAGGCCAATTCATATCCTGGTAACAAGCAATTACGAATATTTGTTTAATCTCTTAACTTCTTAAGCTAAGCTAAATAAAGCCAAAATCCTCCTCTAATTACCAAAAACATGAGAAGAAATTCTCTTTTCTGAAGTATTTAAATCGGGAAACGAATTATCAGACAAATAATTCAGTTATGGAAGAGAAAATGAAGAATTGAATTCAGAAATTTGATTAATTACTGGATGCTAATTAATTTCTATTATTTGTATGGAAAAGCAACGAATTAAGCAGATACTACAGATTCAAATGGAAAAATAGCACTGAATTAGGGTTTTAGACGCTTACAATCAAATATTTTGCCCCATTTCAAGCGCCTCTTCTGGTGGTGAGAGTAGTCGACTGCGAAACGAGTGGCGTTTCATTGCTGAAAACCTTGGAAACGAAACTAGAGGGGCGACTGAACAATGCAGCGAGTACTAAGTGCTTGTTTGGTGAAATAAATTCCCAAAATCATAAAACATGGGAAGTTATTTACTTATTCCCCTTCTGAATGGCTAAATCGCGTTCGGTATTTATCGGGTAATGTCCGTATTTTAACACGACATTACAAACATGCCCCTTTTACTCTAACCCTAATTTACTTTTACCCCTTATAAATTCACCCTATTTTATTTTTACCCCACTAGCCACCAGACAACCACCAGCCACCATCATTCAAAAAAAAAAAAAAAAAAAAAAAAAATATTATTCAAAAACGATTTACAAAAGCAGTGAATGGACGAGTTTGCAGAATTGACGACGCCATCGGAGAGGTCGCCTGTGCGTACAGATGAATTTTTGTCGTTTTTTTTATTTTATTTCATAATCGCCATAGAAACGCCTGAAAATTTAGAATCTATCATGGTAGGAACGCCTGAAATTTTAGAATGTCCCATGGTAGATTCAAAAATAGCAGGCATTCCTCACATTCTAAAAATTTCAGAATCTATGGGAACGCCTAAAAATTTAGAATCTACCATGGGGCATTCTAAAATTTCAGGCGAACCATGGTAGGAACGCCTGAAATTTTAGAATGTTCCATGGTAGATTCTAAATTTTCAGGTGTTTCTTCCATGGTACATTCAAACATTTCAGGCGTTTCTACTTATTATTATTATTATTATTATTATTATTATTATTATTATTATTATTATTATTATTATTATTATCGTATTTATATCGTTTATTATTATTATATTATTTAATTATTATTAATATTTAATTATTGTTATTATTATTATTATTATTATTATTATTATTATATGGGTTCTTAAGTAGTTTATAGTGGTCATTTTCAAACCAACACAGTGTTTCCTAGTTATGATGCTGCTGTTGAATGGGCGAAAAAAATTGCCCGGCCAATTGGATTTATATTCGTCTTATCATCGTGTAAAAAAAACACCGATGGTAGGCCGTATCGATATTTGGCTTGCGATCGTGGTCGGAAGAATAGGCCAAGAGATTTGGAGAATGTGATTCGCAAGGACACTAAAACCAAGTCTGTTGGGTGTCCTTTCTACATCAAGATTTATAACGAGAGAAGCACCAATGGTTGGAGGATCCGTGCTAAAAATGATGTAACCGGCACCCACAATCATCCATTCATTGTGTATCCTGAAGGTCATCGACAAATCAGCGGTCTTAGTTCAGGTACGAAACAGGTTGTGCGTAACTTGACGAGGTCAAAGGTTGCGCCTCGTAATATCATGACAACCATTATAGACCAATTTCCCAAAGATCAACCAAACATCAGGCATATATACAGTTGTAGAAGTGACATCAGAATGGAGGATTTTGAAGGAAAAGGAGTGGTTCAACAATTTCTGCATTTGGCTATAGAGAGTTGATAAGTCTATTTTATATATATATTTATTCCCCGTCTCGATGGTCATAATTGTGTTTATTTGAGCTCTACGGAGCTACTTTTATTACTAATATGTGTTTTCTAGTGTTTTCGTAGTTTTGGTACTGTTTTATAGGAAATTGCAGATTTGGAGCATTTTTCCGGACTTATGATAAGCCACTACGAGCATTGGAGAATTATGACCATATTTCATAGCCCAAGACCGGTTGGAGTCGTCAACTCGGTGATTAAGGGCTCGGCGAAGAAGAAGAGTCCGGGCAATGGACCATGTATTCAGAACCCAAAGAGGAAATGCGAATTGGGCTAAGAAACGACCCAATTGAAGGCGCGCCCGGCAGGGCGAGATGACGCCCGACCGGGCGCGTGTTTCTGAGTTCGTTTAGCACCTTTAATCTTCGTTTTAGCTTAGGTTTTCTTAGTTTAATATAAATGCGCTTTTGTTAAGCGAGTTTGGGACCTTCTTTTCTCTCTCTCTTTCTCTACTTTTCTCTTTAGTTTAATTTCTTAGTTTTTAGTTTTAAGCTTTTAGTTAATACTCTTAATCCCTCTTGACACTTTTAGTTTATGCAATTCTTTACTTCCGTCTACTTTGGTAACGATTTCTTCCCTCTTTACTTTTAGTAATTTAATTGCTTTGATTTAATTATGCTTTCTTTAATTGCTTTGCTTAATTTAGATTTAAATATGTGCGAGTAGTTTTATTTCTAAGGTTGTGGGGATCCATAATTAATATGACAAGGTAATTTATTATTGTGGATTGTCAATGTTTTGGTTGATTTCCTATTGATTGATTTAATGCTATGCAATTAGATTTGCGCAGGTTTAATTGTATGAGTTATGCAATATTGATTCGAGATTCGAGAGATGAGAATTAATGTTTAGGCTTAGTTTCAATAGGCAGATTAATTTATAAATGATTAAGTCAAGATTCGAGAGATGCGATTTAATACCGGTAGATTAATTATGTGATTGTAATACGTAGCGAAAGCCCTTTATGATCTGATTAATCTATACATTGATGATTGATTATTATGTTTTACCCTGGAATATTATTTATTGGTGAACCTATACCCTAGGCCTTTTATTATTGTTTTCCTCCCTTATTTAATTTGCTTCAGTTTAGTTATTAGTTTAATTCTCACAAAAATAATTTGGTTACTTGATAATTTAGATTATATTAATTAATTAGGAATATAAAGCCCTGTTTCTCTGTGGATTCGACCCTACTTCCCTATCTATATTAGTTAGTGGTTTTAGGAATTACTTTTGATTAGGTGGTACGACTTTAGCCTGTCAAGAGTCACTACATTTACTAGGTTATGGCTGACGACATCGGTGTTTTACAGCATGCATTCATGGTGCATCCGATCACGTGCAACTTGTTACGCACATATATGTACGTGATTGGTATGGACTCTACGTACAAGACAAACAAATACATGTGTTACACCGACCAATTAGAATTTCCTTGTTGGATATGTGTTCATGAGAAACGAGACACAGGCTAGTTATCGATGGGTGCTTCAGAGATTGAGGGATTTGATCGGATACCAACAGGAGCCATTAGTGTTCTTAACTGACCGTGAGCTTGGACTTTGTGCAGCATTGAAAGCCGAGTTTCCTCACACTACGCATTTAATTTTTAGGTGGCACATTAATAAGGATGTCGAAGCTTATGTGACTGGATTGTTCAAGGACAAGACGGTGGGTGCAAAGTTCAAAAATGGTAGATGGAAACAAGTCATGGAAGCTGCATTTGAGCCGGAATATGAGTTAGCCTTGCAGATTGAAAACAAGTTGGGGTCGGTATCCGAAGTTGTGGATTATGTTGAGACTACTAGGCTCCCCGGCCCCAGAAAGAGAAATTTGTGATGCGTTGGACTGAAAAAGTTATACACTATGGTAACGTTTCTACATGTAGGGTTGAGAGTCAGCACTCGGCGGTCAAGAGTTGGATGGAATCATCGACTGGTTCTTTGGATACAGTATTGGCTCGAGTGCATTGCTAGATTGGAAATCAGATCGTTGGGATACGTAACGCTTTGGAGGCTAGTAGATCTAAAGCAGGTGAGAAGTACAGGCACATGCCGTTGCAGCGGCTTAATGGAAAGTTTCTCATCATTGTCTGTCTGTTCTTTACGATGAAACGGAAAGAATGAGAGAGTTGAGTTACGAGGTGCATTTGCGTTACGGTTGTGCTCTACGGATCACCCATGGGATACCATGTGCTTGCCAGATTTATGATTCAATGCATGATAAGAAGGGGTTGTATTGCAGCCAAATTCATCCATTTTGGCAGAGCCTTGTCATTGGTGATGGTGTTAATATACCGGAGTTCGTCGATGAGTCAGCAGAAGAAGCAACACATTTTTGTTCCCTTATCGATAAGGTTTTGGCTAGTGACCCTGTTACGGTTCAGAATGTTTCTCGCATCATTGAAGATGAGCTGCATCCGAATCATTCAGATCTTGAGGAGCCGGAAGTGAATCACACAACACGAGGTCGACCACGGGATCGTTCTACTAGGCATCATAGCCATTTCGAGAATGTTGAGCGTACGCTAGTGGTCGTGGGGGGGAGAAGGTCGAGCCAACATGGTTAAAGGCAAAACCGTCAAACTGAATCCGGTATGTTTTATTTTTTTGTAATAATTTTTTTTTATAACATACATATCTATTAATTGATGATTTATTTTCTACCAATTATGAATGTGTACTTTTTTAGGAGGAAATGGATTCTGATTAGGGGATTTTTATCCACCAATCACCGTCTGACAAGTGGACCAGCCAGGTTCCGCCACGTGTTCTTCACGTAGGCCAATAGGAGCCTGCCACGTGTCAATCACAGATATGTCCTCTACGGACCAATCGAGACACGCCACGTGTCCACCCATGCCAAATGGGAAAACCGGCCAACAAGGCCCAATCCTGTTTAGAGGCCCAGTCAGCCCTAGGTTTACCCTAAACCTAGAGAGTGGCACGCTTCTCAAGACTATAAATACTTAATTAATCCTCATTAAAGGAAAAAAAGCAATTAATTACTCTCACCTAGAGAAGTCTGAACACACTGATCACTCCTCCCCTAGAGGAACCAGATCTTCCCCCTTTAATTTCCGCACTTATTACTCCTCAAACAAGTACTAACTTGACCGTTGGAGGCGGAGCTCCCAAGAGTCTCCGTTATTTTGCAGGTACAGGCGGCCGGTTCCAGTCTCGGTGTTGTAACTCTCCCGCAGGACATCAGAAAACCCCGAAACATTTGGCGCCGTCTGTGGGGAGAGTACTTCTGAGATGGCATCCACGTCTGTACCGACTCCTGAAGAGAGGCGTCCCCTAGACGACCCTCAAGTTCAGTCGGACCATGATACCGAGAGTGAATTTGAAGTTGAAGCTCACACAGCTTCAGACGGGACCCTAAAGGCCCGACGTACCCGTCATACCGAAAGGAGGGAGCGGGAGCATCTTCAAACAGGAAGCGAGCCAGCAGGCTCACCGCCTGTTCGGCAACAGCCGACTGATGGGTCTGCTCCCATCACAAGGAACGAACTCATGACCTTCATGAGGGACTTCAAGGGAGAAATTCAAGAGTTGCTTAATAAGAAGCCTGTTCCGGCCAAGGAACAGTCGGCCAAGAAACCATCCACTTCACTGAAAAGGAAGCCAGTTCAAGGGCGGGAGGCGACTCCTCATCCTAAATCAAGGAAGCAGGAGCCGCCTGCTCTTGATTTCACAAAATTCCGTTTTCCTACAGGAAGTAGGAAACCTGTTTGTCACATTCAGGCGGACGGGTCGAAGAAAACATACACAGACGCTCGTCTGCTGTTAGAACAGAAGAAGAGTGACCGACTGTCAGAGTCGGCCTCTACTTCAAATTTCAAGAAAGTCTGCGAAATACCTCGATGAGGCATACCCAGTCGTGTCATGAGAGTTAGTCAGGCGGCCCCTCCCGTCGGTCAGGCTTTCATAGCGACCAGGCGGTACCAAACTTA